GTAGGGGACTGGTTTTGCTGTTGTGTGATACTGATATTTTATGATGGGAAATGGTAACTCAGAGTTCATCGAGGATTTGGGATTCATATTCAGGAGTGTAGGGATTGTCTGGCTGTTAGAAAAGGACACCATGAAGAGACTGACCATAATTGTAGTTTATAATATGAGAAATAGCATATTGCACAGTGCGTAAGTTCTAGATTAATTAATATTACTCTATGAAGATCTTATGTGAATAGTGTATGGGCTAGTCTAACTTGTCATCCTGTACCTACGTGGACGGTTACATTTCTTACTTGAAGGTGTATGATTTTATTAGCTAATTTCAAATTATTTTGTAGAACCATCTCCCTTGCATACAACAACAATTGTGGAGAAATGCACCCTTAAACTGGTTGATGAGTATAAACACATGTTGTGCCAAGCCACAGAGCCCCTGTCTACGTTCTTAGAGTATATCACGTATGTCGAGTTTCTTGTCTGAAGGTTATTTTTGCCTTTTCAGCGTCTATTGTTTTGTTGATTCTCATAGTTTCAACTGGATGGATTTTTTTTTTACTCAGATATGGTCACATGATAGACAATGTTGTCCTTATCGTTACTGGAACCTTGCATGAGAGAGATGTTCAGGAACTGTTGGAGAAGTGCCACCCGTTGGGCATGTTTGATAGGTACCATCAAATGAGAGCTTTTGTGTTCTGATAGTGTCGCGTGACATTTCTTATTAAACAAGAAAAAACGCGTATCTTACCCAAATATTAATGGTATAAAAAGACTCATGATTTATTTTTCTTTCTATTCTTTTTTAGCATTGCTACCTTGGCAGTTGCTCAGAATATGCGGGAACTTTATAGATTGGTGCTTGTTGACACCCCTTTGGCTCCATACTTCTCTGAGTGTATCACATCTGAGGTATAACGTTTGACTCCATTCATTGTCCCATGTTTGCTTTGGTTATTATTATTATTGCATCTTACTTTAGAACAGTAGAGCATGTTGCATGATATGATACCCGTACGTGTACTATATTTGCAAATACAATTGTAAATGCACAATTGATAATGTTTCATTTTCTTGACTAAAAAACTTACGTGAGCTTTTAGTTTTGCAAGGCATTGCTGCCAGAGCACTCCATTAGAGAATTGAGTCATTCATTGTAGCTTTGAGTTAAAATGGATTCCTTTGCATAATTACTTCATCATAAATCATATCTGACGATATGAGAAACTCTTTATGTGTTTTTATGATATTAAGGCGTTATCGGTGTGCAGCTTTATTGTCCTTCAATGATTTAGTCTGTTAAGTAGTATAGTATATTGGACTTCATGGCCACTGGTTTGACGTTTCCTCTTATTTTTGTTAGGATTTGGATGATATGAACATCGAAATAATGAGGAACACTCTCTACAAGGCATACCTAGAGGATTTCTACAGGTTCTGTCAGGTGAATGAAGATTACTGAGATATAGAAGCTTCATTTTCCGTTGTTAAAATCCCAGTTTCTTATCTATTTGTATTTGGGTTCTAACGTAGAAATTGGGTGGAGCCACTGCTGAGATCATGTCTGACCTCCTTGCTTTCGAAGCTGATCGAAGGGCTGTCAATATTACCATAAATAGGTATCTTGATGCTGGTCAATAAATATTTGTTGGGTCCCCGTATTTCTTTTCTGTTGTGTTGATTGTTATGCTCAGACATCTTTTCTGATTAAGTGCACCTCATCTATTATAGTATTGGCACTGAGCTTACCCGAGATGACCGAAGGAAGTTATATTCCAATTTTGGTTTACTGTAAGCAGTTTCTTAATCTCAATATATTTTAAATTACTTATATGCCGAGTGGCCCATCACCTAATGAGATTCCTTATTAACAGTTACCCCTATGGTCATGAAGAGCTCGCTATCTGTGAGGATATTGATCAGGTACTTATGAGTTCGAGTCATAAGATTTGGGTACTCATGAATTTGAGTTATAACATTATGTACAAGTTTTAACACTGGGCTGCTGATTTGGTTTCCATTTGTGGAAAATTGACTTCTCATGAATAGTAAGAATACAAAAGTGCAAATGACTGGTCAAATTAAAAGTTTACTACTTGATCTTTGATTATGTTTGGTTCTGTCTCTTTAGTTCTTGAACTTTAAGAAGTTATAATTAAGTCCATAAACTTTCAATTTTGATTCCAAGTCCTCCATCAATAATATTGTTACTTAAAATTGACACGACGCTCTAATTGAACTAATATGTGATGATTTCATACAACATCATCCAATCATTCCAGGGAGTATGTCGGTTAAAAATAAGGATAGATGAGTAAAACAAAGTTCATCAGTAAGAAATTTTGTGATATTGTAGTTTATGATAAATTTGGTTTAATTTCTGACTTATATTGAAGCCTCTTTTACTTCCTATTTCAGGTTCGTGGTGCCATGGAAAAATACCCTCCCTACCAGTCCATTTTCTCAAAGCTATCATATGGAGAAAGCCAGATGCTTGACAAGGCATTCTATGAAGAGGAGGTGAAAAGGCTATGCTTAGCATTTGAGCAACAGGTTTGTTCTAATTCCACAAATCCCGATTTCTCTCGGAGGTCAACTAGAAGTTCGGTTACTTCAACTTACACAAATTTGACATGATTGAACCAAGTAACATCTAGATCTTCTTTACATGCAGTTCCATTATGGTGTTTTCTTTGCATACATGAGGTTGAGGGAACAAGAGATTAGGAACCTAATGTGGATCTCGGAATGCGTTGCTCAGAATCAGAAGTCAAGGGTTCACGACAGCGTCGTCTTCATATTTTAGTCCGATAAAAGAAAAGAAAAGGGGGGGGCTGTCTACTCGATCACATTTGTTTCCTGTTTTTGCATAATTTACTGTAAAATCTCGTCTCCATCTTATCCTATATTGTGCTGTCGAGATGGGGGGTTCATACATTCTTTCCATGCAAGACTTCATGTCTAAATAAGTGCGTTTTTTGATGTATTAATGGTTTAAAATTGAGTGAGAAGTTATTGTACCCACAAGAATCGTACGACATATGTGGGAGATGAAATTGAGTTTATTATGTAATAAGTTCTTGTTGAATCAGCTTTGTTTTTTTAGTCCGCTATTCAAGAGCAGAAGGAAGGAGGAAAAGGGGGTAACAAACAGACAGGTATTGTGTTTCTTTCAAGATTCATCTTATGATTTAGTGGTTTCTTTTCCAATTTATTTAACTTCTAGCTTTGTTGGCAATATCCAGAATTAAACTTATAGCTTCTTATTCTTTAGTGGCAATCTTGTTTATGTTAGATTATCGCTAAAGCCGATATGATCGATGAAATGGCAGGCTGCCTTGAATCGAAATATTTGTCTACAAATTAATGGTTAGGATCGAGACTCTTAGAAATATAGGTCACAACAGTTAGCGACTTTGAGCATGGAGATGACTTGATGAGTTCTATGATCTGAATGGAAGTACTTATTGGCCTTAACATTGCCTAATAAGCTATCCTTCAGATGATTTCAAAAAGGTATGAAGATTTAATAGCGAGTCGCATCAGATCCGAACGTCATAGAGCTCTTTCTCATACCTCGAGGAATAGCAATCTGGAAAGAATTAGTATGGAGATGTTCTTTTGAAGTTTTTAATCTTTCTTTCTCTATTATATAGCATGAATACAAGGTTAAGATTGAGAATCCATATTCCTCTGCATCTCTGGTAAAAATGCGTTGGTAGGGGAGTGTTCCGCCATAGAGGGAAGCACCCCGCGAGCAGTGGTGGATGAAGCGGAAGCGAGAATGTTAGCTTGAGTAACGCAAACATTTGTGAGAATCCAATGCCCTCGAAAACTTGAGGATTCCTCTGCAAGGTTCATCCACGGAGGGTGAGTCAGGGCCTAAGATCAGGCTGAAAGGCGTAGTCGATGGACAACAGGTGAATATTCCTGTACTACTCTGACATGTTCACGATACCTACTCTTTGCTTCTTTTCATCTTGCTTGGTATGAGTAGCAACTTTCATTTTCGTTAAGATTTTCTCAATCATCCTATCTCTCATATGTAGTTTTAGTTCATTCATGTACCATTCATTTACTCGGGTATCACATGTCCACCAACTTCTGCATTAGTTCGTCCCTAGACCACATTTTACTAGTAGAGATATCACTCTGGTACCATTTGTAACATCTTACGATCAAAATTTAGATTCGACACTTGATGGGTCCGATATCTTTCTTTCATTTGTTTCGTCTTTCTCGCTGATTATGCAAAGGAATGCAATAGTCATCAGGTATGCAATAGTCATCAGGTGCCGAATCCTGGGTATGAAGCATTACATTTATATACAATAAGGGTAAGATTTTAAAAGGTTTAAGAGTGTTAATTAAGATTTTAAAAAGTTTAAGAATGTTAATGCAACCTAAAAAAATTCGAGACATTTTTTAAACATAGCACTAATAATAGTTTTTCTTTTAATTTCTAAATGAAACATAGCACTAATAATAGTTTTTCTTTATATATTTCCTTTTAAAACTAGCCATAAAAATATTTAGTAAATCACTTGAAAATTTAAGGATGCTATCGACCATTCGATAGAGGAATATTTTGAAATAAATCGATAAAGAAAGTGTTTTTATTGAATTAGCAATAAATGATGGAATGGGTTTAATAATAATATTAAACTTTCAAAAATTTGAATAATATTTTAAACTTAAAAAAGAAAAAATTTAAACTTGTAAAAGCTTTTAATTTTTTTTTTAAAGTATTTAAAAAAATATCCTTAAATTTTAAATAAAAAATTTCATTAACATCCTTAAAAAAAAATGGAATTTTTTTCTATTAATATGGATTTTATTATTATTATTTTATAATATATATATATATACACACAACGAAGATGTTAATATTATTTTTGGAAGTTAAGATTATTTTTTGAACTATTTTTAAAATTTTTGAAAGAGAGAAATATTTTCATTTTTAATTACATTTCCACCTCACTTTAATAGAGTCCGAGTCTGAGAATGGAATGGCCGTGGTGTTGAAAGATTTGCAGGGAGGAGGGGAAGAGATCAAATTTGCAAAATCCAAGCAATATAGTTGCAGTCCATTTCCTGTCGGGGGTTTTGCTCTGTTGGAAGATTTTGGAAATTGTAAACCCTGCAAAACCAATCACCATCGCCATCGATGGACCAGAATCAGAGCTTGCCGACCGCCATTACCGACTTGAATGAAGATTCTCTGGCTCACTGCGCCACATTCCTCAACCTCCACGACATCTTCAATCTCGCCACCACCTGCAAATATCTCCGACAAGCAGCCTATTCCGAATCAATCTGGCAACGCCTTTTCAGGTTCTCCATATCCTCTTCTATTTCCATTCTGCTCTTTTATGAATTTCCGAATCAACAATTGGGATTGTCGTTCTTTTCTGTAGGGAGCGATGGCAGCAACTATTACCGCCTCTTGATTCTTCCGTAGCTTCAGGAGGAGCTAGGGATGCGTACTTGGCTAGGCTTTCCGCTCTTCAACAGTTCAAGTTTGAAGATCCATTGGTTGTTGATATGTTGACCGAACCCGAGCCTTATAACCTTATGCTTTTGGATAGAGATGATGTATTTGTTTCCCGGGTATTGTTTGAATTCTTTTCGAAATTATTTGTGTAATCTTTTCTTTTAATTTGATCTGAATTGCCTTCAATTTTGTTGTCTGGATTGTTGAAATTGATGCCAAGTGAATTAGACTGTTTCTAGTCGCCCACCTTTTGCTATTTTCTGTTGGTTAGGGCTCCTCAATTCGAATGATGAAAATCCCCAAAATTTTTGGCAGGAGTCATTCTCTTACCACTCTGAATGATCACAATGCGCGTATCACTTGTATGAGGTGAGATGTGAGTATTTGCCATGGGACTGGTTTGATTGTTCTAATGATTTATATTCTAGTTGTTTCCATCCTTTGCTTAATTGAACTTGACACTCGTTGAAATGCTCTCTTAGCTGGCTAATGAAATATGATCTCATTTGCAGGTTGTTTCCCCTTACAGAAACTTCATTGTTTAGGAGTGAAGGGAAAAAATCTGGAAATTTTTTGGTAACTTCGAGTTCTGATCACTCGATCCGATTGTGGTGGAAGGTATGGGCAGAAATCATGAATTGGTCCTCTTATGAATTCTTTTGCAGTCGCTAGAAGTAGATACTCTACATTTTTTTGCCACTTTGTTTTTTCCTGATCGTATTTTATTGCTACAAGTTTGAAAATTGGTTGGAAAATTTCATGATATGAATTTGGAAGCCATATCATTATCCTTTAATTGTTTATTTGTGAATCAAGGTTAATATGCCTTTAAGCTTGTCTTACAAAGTTGATATGCGGAAATCACTACAAAGAGAGTAAGATTCGGATTATCTTGTTGATTGAATATCTCAAGGCAAGAACATTGTTTGAGATTGAAATCACCAAGGTAATCCGAATCTTGCTCCTCTTGTAGTGATTTTCACATATCATTTAGTATCAGAGCTTCAGGCTCAAGATCGGATATATGTTTCCGTTGCGTTTCTTCTCAATTTGATTTTTATTTATTTTTATCTTTTTAGTTTTTAATCGACCCAGAGTTTAAAATTCAAAAGTAATGTCCCTAACCCTTTACCTTTTGTTGTGGCCTTACCTTTTATAGGGTTCTTGTCAGAAATGTTTTCGAGGTCATAGTGGCCCTGTTTCAACTCTATCAGATAAACTATTAGGTGATGGTAGTAGCAAAGTACTAGCCAGTGGAGGGGAAGATGGTACAGTTCGCCTTTGGTCTCTTGGTTCCAGTGGCAAGCGAGGCAAGAGTGCTTTAAAGGCTACACTACATGGACATGAGAAACCAATTAAGTTAATGTCAGTTGCAGGGTAAGCAAGCACTTAACTGTATTCTTCTTATAATTGTCCTAGTTTACCTCTCAACTCTTTTTCAATTTTTTTTTTCTATTTACATCAGATCCCTTACTACAGCATGACATCATGTTTTCAGATTGAAATGTTGACCGGAGTATAGCCGTGACATTCTTTCTAAGTTCATCAAACCTAGATATCATAAGGATATGGAATATTTAGGCTGGTTGAATTCAGAGTTGGACCTTTAGAACATACAAGCACTTTGAAACATAGATTCTGATATCCAGTTCTATTTTGATAGCATTTTGCTGCGGTGTCAACACTTTGTAAATTCATGTGCTCACGTGGAAGTCTTTCCAGTACTTAGGAAAATATTGTCTCAATTCTTGTAGCATCATCTCTGTTTTTGCACACAATGACCTTCTTTATTTCTGTAGAGAACTCTCTCATTACTATGATGATATGTTTTAATGTTTTTCTTCTTCTCTTGGTCGTTGCACCCAGACATAAGACATCTCTTTTAGTGAGCATTGCAAGAGATTCCAAGGTATTTTTACAATCTTTTAGTGCTTTCTAATTTAGCATTTTCGCTGCATTTTTTAAGAAGGTTCAATGTTTGGAGAGATGAAAGGTTAATGTGAGAGTACTAGTAAGGGACATGTTGGGGTGTTAGTATGTGTTATTAGTATGGTTATAGTAGTAAAGCTAGGCGTATCTTAGCAAATAATCCAACTGTGTTGTCATAACTTTCTAAACTTTATCTTTGTTGACTGGTGTTATTGGTCACACCATGACATAATTAATTTTTTGTGTTATATAGCATTTCGGTTGTCTTATAATCAATGCTTTTGGTTATTTCATTATAAACCTTGGAGCAGTTAGATTGAGAGGAACTGAGGAATCGTCGCAAAAATTCTTAAGTGATTGTAGCAATTGCTTGCAAGTATACGCAAGGGCAGATACATGTCATGCATAACTGGAGAATTTTTCTTGGCCCTTGAATCTTATTGAGTTAGATGCATGCCGGGACTAAATTCTAGTGTTGATGAAAATGTTGAGATCTAAGTTTTGTAGAAATACTAATGGATATTGATAAAAAAAAAAAAATTAATATTATGAGAAACCAGAATATATATAAACTTTAATTAAGCTATAAAGCATGTTTTTGCATGTATATTTCTATTAGTGATTTTTTAGGTTTTTGATATATTCAAATATTGATTACCCCTTAATATTGATGTCGACCCTCCATACAATATATCGATGGATGTATTGACGTGCCTACGACATTCCAATAGTTATATATGGCATTCAAAAGTTGAAAACTGCTTTTTGACCATTTGGAGGAATATCTGGCTTGAAGAAGTATAGAAGAAATTTTAGGGATGAGGAGAGGTCTTGGGGGAGTATTAATCTATTGTTAGGTTTAATACCTTCCTCGGTGTCAAAAAGTTCTATTGTTATCCTATGCTCCTTACTCTTCCTTACTCTTAACTAATCTATGTTTTCTGGATTGTGAATTCAGAACGATGGAGAGATTTCTAGTTGTTTAATGAAATGTATTTAACCATCTCATTATAGACAGCTTCAAAGTTGGACCTAATATTTTGTAGTTTTTATTAATTCCATTCTTTCTTTCTTACTATTATTGCGATGGAAATAGGTCAGAGTTTGGGATGTAACTGCATCATCGACTATCCGTTCATCATGTTGCGTTGGATTAACTTCTCTTCCTGGTGCTCCTATAAACATTAAGTGCCATGAATCCTTGCTCTATGCTGCTACAAGTTCCTCCGTTGTTGCTGTCGATTTAAGGACTATGCAGAAAGTTCTAACTGCTGCAGCTTATCAACCATTTCTATACTCATTCGAGATGATTCCCTCTAAATCCTTAATATGCACAGGTGGTAGAGGCAGGTACGTTCTAGTTCATTGATCAAGAGCAATGCTCATATGTCTAAACTTTATAATGTTTATTTTAGTGAATGGATTTTCAAAACATGACCATTTTTAGCATTTTAATGGATGGATGACATGATTTTAAATATGTATACTGTTGTGTTGACTTTAGGCATATATTGAAGCTGCTTAGGCTAGTTGAGTGAGACGGTAGAATACTGATGTCGACCCTCCATACAATATATCATGAAAGTTTAGGGATGGTTCATTCATACAATATATCGATGAAAGTGATGTTAGATGAACACGACTCTCCATAATGATATGACATCGTCCACTTTGAACATAAGTTCTCAGCTTTACTTTGGGCTTCTCCAAAAGGCCGCATACCAATGGAGATAGTATTCCTTGATTATAAACCCATGATCATTCCCTAAATTAGCTGATGTGAGACTTTCATCATCCAACAAGTGAGACGGTAGAATAAGTATTTTGAAAGTTTAGGGATGGTTATGAAATAAATCTAAGAGCTAGGAGATCAAATAGGTTTAAACTAAATGGATACTTTTTAGCTGTGCAGTGCAAGGCTTTGGGATGTAAGAAGAAACCAGGACGCTCTTAAACCTGAACCAATAGCTGAATTGGATGGACATAGAGGAGCAGTGAATTTCCTACACATGGATCCCTACAAAATAGTAACGGGATGTCCAGATAATGTCGATGTAAACGTCTGGGAGGCAGATTCGGGTGCACACGCAAATTCATTGAGCTGCTGGTTCACTGAAAGTGCGGACAGCAGCACTACATTGTCCTCTATGGCTGTTAATGGGTGTAGAGTTGTCACTGCCTGCTATGCTGAAGATCTGGGACTTCTACGCTGCAGGGACTACACCAATGCTTCTCGTCCCATTGTTAGACACGACGAGGTTGTCTCCAAATTTTGGGATTCACAATGCTACGACGACAACAACAACGATACCTCCGACGTGTAGTACATCATCTGTAAGTCGTATATAATTTTATTTTCTCTTAGTGCTCACGATTTTGGTTTTGTCAACTTGTGCACAATTCAGTTGATTAAGATATATACCATCAATCAAGAGATTGGAAGTTCGAGTTGTCACTCCAAGATGTTAAAAGTCCAAACTTATCTTGGTAGGTTTGTATCTAGTGACGGGATCGAACTTCTAACCTCATATGTGAGAGTTTAAATTTAATACTGGATTAAGATTTAGACATTTAGGAGGTTATTAATGTAATTTCGAATTGTAACCGTTATATAACATGAGTGACATTCCTTATTGTTAAGGAGTGTTTGAATGTAACAAAATTTACACCAAGTGACTTATTGTTTGATGGGTGACAAAAAAAAAAAAAAAAAA